AGAGCCGAGCTCGAGTTTCCGCCCCGCGACGGCCCCCAGACTTCAGGCCGGCGTCACCCGCACTCACCTGCCGCTGCCCCCGACCAACTCCAGCGCCACTGCCTCTACCTCGGCCGCCAGAAGCCACCAAGCGCCACCACCTCCCCCATGACAACAGGCCCACCCCGTTTTATACTTCCTACCTCTCCATTGGCTAGTGAGGCAGCGGCTCTCTGCTCTAATTGGCTTAGTTTACTTGTCCGTCATAGCTTCCTTACCGCCCCTTTTCCTGGACCCGGTATTAGCTCCCGCCCGGACCTGGAGCGTTCTAGACCAAGCCTTAGTTGTGATTGGCTGGCGGTTGGGCAGTTCGAAGTTATGATAGGCTGGCTAAAGTGTCTGTGAAATCAACTGGTAAGCGATGTGACGGCCGCGATTGGCGCAAGCACAGTTTGGTTGCGCAGTAGAAAGCCAGGAAGGGGCCGAAGCTCACAGCGGAGGTTACCCGGGAAGGGTTAACTCTTTTGTTGTGGAGTTTACTCTGTGAACTCATCCCTCTCTCCGGCTCATCACTGCGTGCTTATTCATAGGGCAGTCCTGAGAAAACAGCAACATCAGAGCTTGTGTTTAAGAAGTGCTTCCCACTCCTTGGGAGAAAAAGCACTGTAGATAAATTCCTCCTTTTCTTGAGGTCCCAATGCGCCCAGTTTCTTTGAAGTTTTCCCCAGAAGTCTCCATGTTCAAAGGCAAAGCACAACCGTTTACTTAGCAGAAATCGGTCCATTTCAGTCGCAATTATCAACGTCGTTAATAAGTGCAGCGTTGAAAGTTCTCCAGGTTCCAGATTCACCCCTGACTGATGACTGCGAAGTGGCCACGCAGCCATCGGCAAGTTTGTACTAAATGGGCCACATTTCACCCTTGTGATGCTCTGGAAATGAGAATTCCTCTCCTCCCACCTCCCCGCAACTTGATTTTAATGTTCAGCAGTTCTTAAATAGCCCTACTAGATGTGTGTCAGATACTTAAAAAGCTTGCCCTTTTTTCTAAACCGCTCCTCTTCCTAGCAGTCTAAATTAGGACCATTGAATGAATTGCAGTTCTTTTCTCACATTGGCACAATGCACAAGAATAAATGATTGCATTTTTTATTCATTTGGGTACAAATCACAGTAGGCGCTTTTGAGAAATCTGGTGTTGCTATAAAAATTCTTGTGCTCCCAGAAATATATTCGTCATTAGCTTTTTGCTTTTCTTTTTCATTCCACCCACTTTTCCTGCTCCTAAGTAACAAGATGCTGTCCTGATTACTCTTTCAATTTCTAAAACACATTTAAATGTACCTTCCTCACAACTCCACCTATAATACACAAACCCATGGGCCATGACAAATTCACTCAGAGATGTATTAGGATAGATCCAGGAGGTTGTCCACTTATAAGCATTACTTTATTAGTTGGAAACTTGTGTGGGACCAAGAATCTGGACTTTTGAAAATTTGTGCTTGCCTCTTTCTTCTTTCTGCTAACTCCTTGTCCCATATCCCTTCTATTTACCCTCCTGTCCTTTGCAGAGCAAGCTACAAGGAGTCTAAAATTGCATGATACGTTATCTAGAAAAAAAACAATGTCCATTTTCTAGCCTATAAACTACATACCTCTATCACCAACCTAAGCGGAAATTATTCCTCCAGTAACTATACATTACAACAAGGTGTCTTTTCCTAGTTATTTTTTGGAACTTTCCTCCCCCTCTCTCATCTTCCAATTTAGAAATAACCTCCCCTTCAATTCAATGACTCATCAAAAGCCTGTAAAGGAAAGTGGAAAAGCCAAAATAACTTCAGACTTGCCTGAATCATTCAACTGAAGGAAAGATCAGACATTGACCATGATAAGATGGAATCCAAGACATAAGGCAAGCTTGAACTAACATCCGATAACAAAGGAAGTAACATGCAAATGTAAAGATGCTCCAATGAGAAGGAGGTATCAGTATGTGTCCTGAACATAGCCTTGTAATATATTACCCGCCGCTTTCTTCTCTCTGGTCTTGACAATGTGTCCTACCTACCAATTTTAGAACAAGTTGGAAGGCAGTTAACATACTGGTAGATAGGAAACAATAACATCACAGGAGGGCATGGTCATTATGATGGTATTTTGGGTAATAATGGCTCTTGCACATCCATAGTGACTAGGTGCCATAGAGAACATAGAATTAGGCCAGCCTCACTAAGAAGGTTGGTCATCTAAGTTCAGGAGCTCAAAGAATTACTATCACAAAACTAGGAAAATTGCCACAAAGGTCAGCTATTTTATACACTAAACAAAGATTTTCTAGATATGTTTTGCTTGCACATGCACATACACTGTACCTCTCCCATTCCTTGTGAAAGTAAGTTAAGAAAAAGAAATACAAAATGAACATGTACAATCCAGTAAGAAGAGATAAAGCCTTGAAGAGGGAGGGCTTTAAAGAGTATCCTTTGATCCAACAGAAAGCTATTGTGTTCTTAAAGCCCATGCAGTATACTGGGAAGGTGATTGCTTATACCCCATGTCTTGAATTTGCATGCACAGTGTAACCTTATAACGTAACTACTCCATCCAACTTCTCTTTTCTTTCCTGTGCTATGTGTTTCTCCATCTCTCTCAAGGCCCCCTCTTAGAAAGCAAGAACACTGGAGTCAGGGAGTCTGCAGCTTTGTGTTGTGTGGCTGGCTGTGGAGGTGGTGCAGATGGTATCTGTCCAGAGCCACTTGAGCAAGACCAGGATGGCAGGTATATTAAAGGCAAAAACAGCCTTTATAAATCCTGCTTAAGTGGAAAATGAAGGACTAAGAATTGATGTCCCACTATCTAAGGAGTCGTATGGTTTGCCTTGGGCTTTAGTATATGCTGATGCTACTTTTTGCTCTCTTTTCTTTGCTGTTTCTGCCCTCTTTTCATCATATCACTTTTCAAGGAGGTAGAATCCAAGTCTCCTTTCATTTCTATTTTAGTCCAGCGGAGCAATCTCACTAGGAAAAAGCTCAATTTTTTGTTTGTTTATTTTGTTTTGTTTTTTATCTCCCCTTTCCCCTCTTTCCCCTCACCCCCCACACACAAACCCTGGATTCTACACACAATTTCAAAAGAATTAGAAGAACAACTAGTGAAGAAGAAAATCAGTCAGATTGCAAAAAGGGCCAGAGCTGCCTGCTGCCAGCAGTTGGAGGCAAGCCAAGATATTTGATAAGAGGTGGTTCCCTGAGTGAGAGTTAGGGATCCCTGAGTTAGGAGGCTGACAGGGATGAACGGGATTGGAGAGGAAGGAGAGGAGGCCCTGAGCGTTTGGGGGGAGAGAGAGGGAAAAGTGAGAGATGAGAGAGAGAAAGAGAAGACCAGCAGTAAAGAGGGTAAAGAAAGCTAAAAAGAAAATCAAGAGGCCAGAGTGCTGAGCCAGCTTAGAGTCTCACCCCACCTCCCTGGCTGTGAACTTTACTCCAGGTTGCACAATTATACCAGCCTCCGCCACTGGTTGAAAGGAGAACCATGCCAGAACGCTACCCTATGGGACCATTGCTCTACTGCTACCTGGAAATCCTCCCTGAGTTCAAAGCCTGCTGTTCTGGCACCAGGGCAAAGCTGACAAGGAAAGACATACTCATGCAGCCAGCCAACTGGGTATATCTTCATTGGATTTCATAAAGGTGACCACTGGCATGAAGCTCTGGATGAACAAAGGAAAGCTATCTGGAAGAAGATGTATTTACCATCCCAAATTGGGGACCTTCCAGCACAGGGAAGTGCCAGGCTGCTTTGCACGCTGGAACAAAGAGCACTGTGGTTTCAAAGTTCAAGGATGGGAAGAAGCAAAAAAAAAAAAAAAAAAAAAAAAAGATTAGTGGAAGAGAGTGTTCTTTCAGGCAGAATCATTTGCTTTCCAATTCTAAGGCTCATGTGATTTTTCCAATAGCACACCATACCTTCTACTCATCTTGCATATTATAAGTAAGATGGCTTGGGTGCTTCTAAAATGGATAGGCTGCAGCTCTCAGCTGCCTTTGTGCTATTGAATGGAGCCCTTAGTTACTATCACCAGATCTATGGGTGGACCAGCCATTCTTTTGCAACAGGGAGTGGGCCAAAGTACTTAGCATCATTTGAACTTTTGTCTATCCGTTTTACACACGTACAAAGAATTTCCTGGAAACATGGCTATACTCCAAGGATTTCAGAAAACAGAATGTCTTCTAGAACTCCAGTTTCCCAATCACTTGAAATCTCATAAAAAAGTAGACTTGAACTCAGACTCTTGAACCTGAATGTGTTCAAATCCTGGCTCTGCCATTTACTAGCTGTGTGACTTTGGGAAAGTTGATACATCTCCCTAAGCGTTAATTTCTTCACCTACCAAATGGAATATTTTTAGTTTTCTTTTGCTGCATAATAAATTACCCCAAAGCTGAAAACGATATTTGTTCTCCATACCTGGAACTATTGGCCCAAGGCCTCCCTCAGTGCTTGTCTGGTGGGTCTATCCATGAGCATCTTGAAACACGGCAGCTTACTTCATCAGAGCAGGCAAGCAAGAGGGCAAGAGAAAGGGCCGGCAAGGGAAACACTGCTAGCAAGACAAAAGGCATAGTCTTTTGTAATCTAATCACAGAAGTGACATCCCATCTCTTTTGTCACATTCTATTAGTTAGAAACAAGTCATTAGATACACCCACACTAAAGGAGAGGGAATTGTACATGGTACAGGATGTAAATACTAGGAGGGAGAAAAATCTGTGGAGCAGATTGCCTGATGATGACGATGATGATGATAATAATAATAATAATACCTACTTATAGATTTCATTTAAAGATTAAGTGAAAGAAAATATTCAATTCAGGGCCTGGCTCTGGCATACATTATATAACTGACATATATAATAACTATTATTATTATTAATGTTATTATAAAGTAAATGATGACTGGTTTTCTCTCCCTTCTAGCTAATAGAAGGAAACTTTTTATGAGAAGTCAATGAAAGTATCTACATAATTTAAGAAGGACCTACCACACAGTAAGTGCTCAGTAGCCATTAGTGGACGTTATATGAAAATATGATTTCTAGTTGCCACTCCAAGCTACTGGAAGGATATGTTAAGACTATGATAACTTTTCCAGGATGGCCTTACTTTCAAATATGTTGTCTCAT